AAACACCCATGAAATCACCAATAATTTACAGGCGTAAAAAGCGCTGAACAAGTAGCCCGGAAACTCCCTTCTGCCTTGTCTTTTACACCAATTTTTGTATTTTGTATTTACAATGAATCGTTACTCTACTCTATTGTTCCCTATTGTGGACAGGAGTGAAAGCAAGATCAAAAAACTTAATAGTGAAGAACTTTTAATTTGGGAACATGTTTTCTCTTTATTTCGCGAAAAAGTGGGGAGGCACGCACACACCCCGGCCCCTCCCACTGCGCGGGCCTTGATATTGCCGTTTAAAGCGATGTTTGGCCGGGGACTTTTCCGTCTTTTTAAATCAATCCAGCTAATTATGGCCGGCATCTTAGATCCACCGTCATTGCCGGATTTCAGAATGAAAAGCCTCCAAACTGGGCCGTAGTTAATTTGTCAAAATCAACCGAAAATGTGTAATTCCGTGGAATTTTATGAAAATTCATATAATGAATAATCCCTTCGGGTTTAAGATGAATTTAATTTTTTATTACTCCCTCAGGGCTCAATTTATAATCAGTTGGCGGTTCAAATAAATATAATTTTTAAAAATGGGAACCAGAGGTCAAACATTCTGCTTATTCATGTTTGAAATTACTCAGCAATAGTTAGCTTGCGTGGCAGGCGTTCGAAAGGGAAGGGGAAGGGAATTAGGGCGCCCCTCGCGTTTCTCTCGCGCCTAAAACTCCCTTTCCCAAAGCCCCCTTTCCCTTCCCTTTCAAACGCCTGCCACGCAGGCTAAGCAATAGTAAGAGACCAGAGCTCCAAAGACGTGAGTCCCCTCATGTAAAACATGTGCGATTAATGTGACCAAAAACCAAGTCATTATATAACCTTTATATTGTCATGGTGTTATGGCCATTTGCGTTATTCATTCAAAATGTATTTCATGATGCGTTAATATGTAGGTTTTTGCACTTTTTATCAGCTTAGATGTTAAAGTGCTGTCATGAAAAGAAACATTTGAAACTGAAAATTCACGTGATATGCTGCAGTTTTTGCCCTTATTTTCTCAAATGTATATGTATATACTTTGCCAAAAAAAATACGAGTAAAACCTCTCTTAGCAAAGTGCAATGAGAAGAATGAAAATTACAAAAATAATTTCCACAACTCATATAAAATATTCATTTCAAAAACAAAGAAAGTGGTCTCTATTGGTCACTTCAAATGAATCAAAAACTTCAAATCACGTTTCAACTAAATCCGAAATTATCCGTGCTACCAATTTATTGGAATCGCTTCGGTGAAGAAACAAAACGACCGTCCAATATTGAAACGAGGTGTCAACATAATTGCCAAATCGTTGACATTGTAATTTGATATCACGTATTATAGACCGGCAATTACATTGTTCTCTGGATAAAAGCTAAGTGAAGCGAGCAGAAACGAGCGAGAACAAAACATATCACATTGTCTTTTCCCGCGAAGTCTAATCTACGCGGTAAACGTAAACAAGACATAAAGATAGTGACTGGTCTGGCGTCACGAAAGATTGCATCCAGTCAAGATTTCAGAAAAAACGACTGAGGCCAACTTATCCTACAAGGAGACAATTTCTCTTGGAAAAATGTCATTGTTAGACAGACCAACGGCCATGACAAGCTGGGAAAAAGATGCTGTCCAAGACCTCGACAGTGTTTATCAATCCAAGACGATTCCTGATCGTGGTGACATCGATACAGTATGGAAAAGCATGTATGAGAAGGGTTTAGGGAGAAAAGTGAGTCAGTATTCGCTGCCGCCACAGGCAGCGAACGAGCTGACAGATCCAGAGAACTTGTCCCAGGCAGATTCACCTTCCCAAGACAAACCAATCGAGCAAGAAAAGGTGAAAAAAAGCGCGGAAATTAAGAACAAAGATCTAGCCTCCGTCCATCTTGAGAGAGCGATAAACTTGGGGAAATTGCCAGGAAAGGATGAAGGGAGACGATGGAGGAAACGAACCTATTCAAACAGTTCGGAACACTAAATACATATTTTTAAAAATAATTCAACGAAAACATTTTAAATTTTGCCATGCGCTCATATCAATTTACTTTGTAATTGTAAAAGTCAGATCACAAAATATGATAATGCTCGTTTGATGCTTGAAAAAAAAAACTGTTTCAAATACGTATTTAGTGACATGTATTTTCAACTCAGTTATCTTTCGATGGATAAGGGTAATTTACAATTATTTAGGCAATGGGGGTTTTGAAAGGTTGTAACCCTGCAGCTTGTTATGAGAACGTGTAGTCACGTTCAAGCAAAAGCCTTCTTCTCATTGGTTAATTTCGAGACTGTTAAAACACGAGGGTGAATTAGAACAATTGTAATGTTGTTATCTTATTTCGTTAATTTATTTTTCCTTCCTCTTGAAAAGATGAAAAGCACGAAATGGTAAAAAATTAAAAAGGCAAGATTATTTTTCGGCCGATTTTCACAATTTAATTTTTAGAAAGTGTTTCGCTTATTAAGATTATGTTGTAGGGCCGTCGATTATCCGCTGTGAGGAACATCATGTTTTATAACCTTGAAAATATGTAAATTTGTAGTATTCTTTGTCCTTTCGGAAATAATGCATAATGTAAACATCATTCGAAATCGTAGAACTTTACTTAAGTAATATTATACATAGAACGTGCTCTAGTAAAATCGGTAACACACGGTTTTATGCTGTTTTGAATTGTTGTAATTAGCCGGTCGTTCGTAACACAGAATGTAGGTCTGTTTTAATATAATATGTCCTACATTTACAAACCAAAATTTTAGTGCGTTACGATTCCTTTCAAGTTTTGTTTCCTCGGTTTGTTGTCCCTCGTCTAGAGGAAAATCGCCTCCGTTGTAATGAATTTACCTGTTTTCCTTCCATTGCTGCTTACAAGGCGTAAATCTACTCAATACTAAATGTATTCCCCACTAAAACAATTACAGCTGTCGCCCGTGCGGATTCACGCGACCGCGTGAAACCACATACAGGACGTATACAGTATTGTGAGAAAACGAAAAAGCAAAATGTGATAAACGTCAGGCTTGTTTTGTTCTTTTAAGGTCCTCTGTCTTGGCAGAATTCTCGGCTTTTATGCATATGTGGTCTAAATATCAACTAAACATAATTAACAGTATTTTCAATGTATATCCCTCGAAAAGCCGAGTGACCATGTTTCGAATGGTTTTTAAGTGCTCCTTATAAATTAAAAATTTAAAATAAAGGTGCTTTTTCCCAATCAGCTCAATAACCAGCGAATGCCGTCGAGCAGACGTACGGGCTTGGACACTACAACAAAAACTCAGGCAGTTTTCAAATAATGGCGAAAACAAGCGGAAACCAAGCAAATCTTACCAACTAGGGCTGTCTAGGGGAACGCGGGAACGCGCACTGTTCAAATTGTTCAATACAGACGTTTCCAAAAATTCGTGTAATTATCTGATAAAACATGTACAGAAAGGAAAGCAATGACAGGGTGTGTCGTCAACTTTTCCTACATAAAGCCCGTCTTGACAAATCAATTATCAGGCACTCGATCTCTGAATGGGTACAAAATTATATGCTTGGATATAGCCCGTTCCGAGATATTCGGGTCCCCGGAATTGAGAAAGCGCGAACATGAAAATAAAACTTTTTCCTTTTTCCCACCCCACCCCTTTTCGCGTACCTTTTACTTTCTCGTCTTCCCCACTATCCGAGGCTAGACGGTATAGCTTCGGTATATATTATACTGAATGTTCATCAGATTTAAAACTATAAAGAAAATACCGTCAGTAGCATCTCACGTTTGCTTTCGCAGAGGAAAGGACAGTCAGTGCTCTTTAGATTAATTAAAGCAATTTCTCTGGGTTAGCTTTTGTTTTCATCCAAAAAGATAAGAAGGACGCGAATGATAGCAACGCGAACGACTCCCCACATGTTAAAAGTCATGCGGGAAAGAAACTCTGCTTGCATTGTGGTTTATACATTTAGCTCAATACTCCTGTCATGAACCGATTTATGTCTTCCGCTAAAGCCTATACAGGACGTGCGGTTTTGTATGCACGTCATTCGGCTTTGAGACGTGAGATGCGCTCTTCCGCAAAGGACTGCGACTACTAACGGCGCCCCGATCACCAACCCCCCTCCCCCAACAACTCTGTCCAAGACATGACTATCGTACGATCAATACACCAAGTCTTCTTTGGTCAGACTCGAGTAAGTTTTTTACTGCTATTATTACAAGAAGCATATTTCTCCGTTTACGAGATCGTCTATTCTGGGCTGCGTTTCAATTATCATCTTTTGAGTTTGTATGACTTTCAACCGCCGCCTGGTTAGCTCCGTTGGGAGAAGGCCGGTCTGCTGAGCGGGAGGTCATGGGATCGAACCCCGGCCTGACCAACACTAAGGGTCTTTAAATAACTGAGAAGAAAGTGCTGCCTTTGTCAGTAATACATCTGCAAACGGTTAGACTTTCTAGTCTTCTCGGATAAGGACGAAAAACCGTATGTCCTGTCTCACAGCTCTTACACTTGTCTGATTCTTGGGGACGTAAAAGAACCCACACCACTGTTCGAAAAAAGTAGGGGACGTAGACCCCGGTAGCGTGGTCAACCCTCGCATCATGGGTTGGGTGGGTACAGTAAGCTCATAAATGGACTGAGAGGGGCTGCCAGTGGCGCCTTTGTATGCTGACGTCCGAACTTACTGTTCACATGTTAAAATATATTGTAAGAGGGCACTTCCGTTGTCCTCTCATCCACGACTCTTCATTCATTCAATCATTCATTCAATAGAAAAGTCGACGAGTTCATGCACTGTAGATAAAGATTTGCCCAAGATGCTATGGCACTGCTTAGAGAGCCAAGGGCCATGTGGGGTCAAAACGACAGGATCAAAACAGTCTGTATTTTTTGCCCTGTGAGTACAATTTATTAAATATTTTATCTATACCAACATCGTTTTTGTCTCTACCATAGAATTGAAGTTCTAAGTTAAAGATAGGGAATAACTTTCCGGT